TCACGAACTCCTACTCATGTCTCCCTCGCAAGGCCTCCTCCTTCGGGAAATCAGCCCTCCCAGCCAAGGCCCTCTGTCCTCTCCTTTTGCTGCACTGATTCGGTCTGTCCCTCCCACTGGTGCTAAGGGAGCTCCTCTCATGTGTCCTGCCCCATTCTAGGTGCCGGGGACAGAGCAAGGGACAGGAAGGGCCCCTCTGTGCTTTCAGAGCAAACGTGGCTCCAGCGGGAGAGGCCACTACTTGCATCGCAGATGCCACAGTGCAAGAAAATTGTCACGTGTGGAAGGTTGCATTTGAGATTCCGCCTCAGAGCTTCTTTGTTCTGGGCTTGTATTAAAAAATGCATGGTTCTAGGGCCAGTGCTGTGGCATAGCAGGTAAAGCTGCCACCTGCAGCACCAGCATCCCATATGGGCGCTGGCTCGAGTCCCAGCTGCTCCATTTAAATCCAGCTCTCTGCTGTGGCCTGGGAAAGCAGTAGAAGATGGCCCAAGTCCTTGGGCCCCTGCGCCCACGTGGGAGACCCGAAAGACAGCCCTCTCCTCTCCCTCCATCAGCCCCCCTAAGCCCCCTCTCCTTCATGGCTCTGGAATTCCTTCCCCCGGAGTGCACCCCAAGAGCCCCCTATTCTCTCCTGTGGTTCCAGGCTGACCTGTGGACTCCTTGAAGGCAGGGCTTTTGTCCTATTTGTCCCTCAATACCCAGTTCTGTGTGCGGTGTCTGCGCCACACACCGCATCTTCCTACGGGGCACTTTATCCTGTAGCAGCGGCTCTGGATCCTGGCTGCCGCCACCACGGTGGAGCTTCAGGAACGCCGTGGGATTCCAGGCCAAATGCGCGCGTGTGTGCATACATTTGCAGAAATGAGAGCACAGCTTTCATGGGCTGTTCAAAGTTCTCTGGAACCAAAAAATAAATAAATAAATAAACCATTAGGAATCCCTGGCCTGGGAAGAAGTTCTTTCTTTTCCTTCTGACTGACACAAACGCTGACACACCACTGCCCCGCACCGAGTTGGCTTCAGCGTGGGTTTCACCCCGAGGCGAGGGGCCTCTCTCTTCCCGGGGCACCGACTCAGACTCTGGCCCTTGGCACCCACCGCGCGGCCCACACCAGCTGCTGCCCCAGCCACATTCCTGACGAATCTGAATGTGAGGAGGACCTGAGGATCCAACGAGATACGTTTCCAGACAAGATAAATACAGACAGTAACACAATCCCGAGGAAAGAATAAGGCTACTGTTGGAATCTCAGCCCTCGAAAAAATGTACCAAACGACAGGGGCACGCCCAGTTGGAATTCTGGTTTTCACAGTCTCTTTGCTTGTCAAACTTAATATCAAGGAAAATAAGCTAATTTGATTTGGCAAAGGCTCCCGCAATATGGAATTGATATCTGTGGCAGCGACCTTTGATGTTTTGTATAAACAGTGTTTTCCCTGCTGTGGAAGCGAGAGTTGAATAATAAACAGTGTCTTCCCTCCTCCACTCACCACCCACCCCCTCCTCAGTACCAAAAAAAACAAAACAAAACAAAACAAAACAAAACCGGTGCTGCATTTCATTTTCAATTGGCGCTGATGTGCTGGGCTGGAAGATACCTCATGGTAGCAGCTGTCCTGGGCACTGCACGTTGCTCACTGGCATCCATGGCCTCCGTCCGCTGTTGCAATGACCCAAAGTGTCTCCAGACATCACTAATTATCCACTGGGAGCAGGATCATCTCTGGCTGGGCGCTGCGGTTGTGAAGGTAGACCAGATGGCAGTTCATGGACTTCTTTTATTTTTGCTCTCAGTTTTGGGCCCTGGGTTGCCTTGCTGTGGACCTGCCGCCTGGAGACTCTGGCTCATCATCTAACAGCTCTGTAGGAGTCGGCATGGAAGGGGCGTTGGGGAACAGGCAGCACCTGTGGCACCCTGTTTGCTTCGGGAGCCCTCTGGCCTGCCTGTGCACATCTGGCTGGAAGGGGGCCACTCTGGATCGTCTCTGAATGGCAGATTCTTGTGAACTCAGGACAGCCTTGCTGCCTTGGGATGCTTTTCAAAGGTCAAGAATTGCATGGTCCCTGGGCAAAGGCCCTCTTCCCTGTGTCCCCTGACATTTGGTAAAGGGTCATAATAAAAGGGGGTTTACCTGGGGCCGGGCAGATTCACAACCATGACATTCTGGAACTCGTTTGGACCAGCTTGTGTGAGAGTGGATGGGTAAATCTTCAGCCATCTGTGAGCCATTTGCAGACATGTCAGTAGCTTGGATTTCCCGGTGTTAGGAGTGTGGTCGCATGCTACTTAACCAGGGGGACACATCCTGAGGGATGGACCATTTGGTGGTTATGCGAATACAACAGTGTATTCTCAGAGATGCCTCAATGGTCTAGCCTGCTGCACACCCAGGCTGTACAGTCGAGCCTATTGATCCTGGGCCAGCACCTCCCTAGATTAAACACGGTGAGGTAGAGATGGCTGCAGTACAGTTGTTAGCACTGGTGCAGCTACACCAAGAAAAGGCACCGTGAAAATACTAAGATAGCCAGCGCCGTGGCTCAATAGGCTAATCCGCCTTGCGGCGCCGGCACACCGGGTTCTAGTCCCAGTCGGGGAGCCGGATTCTGTCCCGGTTGCCCCTCTTCCAGGCCAGCTCTCTGCTGTGGCCAGGGAGTACAGTGGAGGATGGCCCAAGTGCTTGGGCCCTGCACCCCATGGGAGACCAGGAGAAGCACCTGGCTCCTGCCATCAGATCAGCGTAGTGCGCTGGCCGTGGCAGCCATTGGAGGGTGAACCAACGGCAAAGGAAGACCTTTCTCTCTGTCTCTCTCTCTCACTGTCCACTCTGCCTGTCCAAAAAAAAAATACTAAGACACAAGAGCTCTTCCACTCGGGTATGATCATATGAGCCCACCATTCTATATGTGGTTTGTCATGGACTCAAATGCTATTCTGTAGTGCACAGTTGTATTTACCCCACGGCAATTGGCCAAGGCCACAAATCTGAACTTTCTCTCCTCCCTGCTGGCCAGTTAAGTGTTAATTAGCACTTCACAGGTTCAAGTCCAGGCTGAAAATGAGGGTGAGTGCAGGTGCCGCTCGCGGCTCACCTCGTGCCCACTTTCCCCTGCTGTCTTACTCAGGGAATTCCAGTTTTGTTTCACCAGCTGCCAAGTCCAGACACATCACTGCACTGCCTGCTTTTTTTTCTTTTTCTTTCTTTATTTCTTTCTTTTTCTTTTTTTTTTTTTTCTTTTTCTTTTTTTTTTTTTTTTTTTTTCTGTAGAAAGCATTCAGATGACAGAGCTCTGGCCAATAGCATGTAGATGGAGTTTACCGGATAGGACATCCTCAAACTCTTTCCTCTCTGGCCTCTCGCTACTCCCTGTTCAGATCACAGGTCTTCTGCCCGCCGTGGAGTGGACGTCTCGCAAGCACAGGCGGACGGGTGGAGGATGAAGGTCACACATTAGGGATGCTTGAGCAGGAAGGTGGGAGGGGCCTGGTCCCTGTGAGCATGGTGGATTCAGTGTGCCAGCCCTTGACTCCCCATCCCTGGCTGCTTCCCAGTGGGCCGCACAAACATATTGCTGAATGCATGCATCCCTACCGAGGGCCCTGGGCAAGTCGACAGAAACGTTATTACCCTATCTGGAAAACAGAAATACTAAGAAGACCCCAACTCACGGTACTGTTGGAGAAGTCCAGCGACCAGGCCTGGCCCCAGGGAAGCGCTGGGGAGTACAGGCCCCTGCTGCGCACCTCTCCACGGTGGCCTGTGTTCTGGCAGGACCGTGTGTTTTGATGTTTGCCTCTTCCTGGGGCTTTTGTGTCTTCAAGCGCATGGGCATGTCTTGAGTTTCCACTATGTGACTTGGTTCACAGCAACCCTGTTAAGGATTTAGCAAAGACTAAATTCATTATCCATTGTTGGGAATATAATTCATATCTCCATCCTGTTCCTTAGGCCAACTTAATTCTATTCAGGCTAACCCAGCAGTGCAGAATGTTGTGTGATCCACACGTTGAGCAACACAGAAATGAAATACAGAAACCATTTATGTCTCTGCCCTACCCTAAGGGATTCATAGTCACGTTGGGGACTGAAGAAAAGTCCCCACATAGTTGTGATGCAAGGAAGAGAGGCATGAGGGGTCTCAGACCAGGGGCCCAAAGGCTGCGGGTGGATGGTGGAAGGGCTGGGAGATAAAAAAGAAGGCTTCCTGGAAGAGGAGACATCAGTACAGGCTTTGGAAGATGGTGGAGCGGTGTTTCCCTTAGGAAGACATGATAGACTTGGTACCCTAGGTGGACAGTGAATTACAGGTAAGGAGCGTGCAAGCCACGGGACCTGGTTCTTGTCCTGGGGGTTAGGGGAGAGTTTTGACTGCCAAGCTGAGGCATTTCCATCTCACTCTCTGGGCAGTGGGGAGCCACTGAAGGCTTGAGAGCTGGGAGTGACACCAGAGCTGGGACTTCGGCACATCTGTCTATCAGCCATGCAGACGCTGGTTGGAAAGGGAGACGGGGGTAGGCACCAGCAAGCTCTTACAGAGATGAGAAGACAGGTGTGCACTCTCCTAGCAACTGCGAACTGCTCCTTCATGGCACACAGCACTGCAGCCAATAAACACTCCTCTGGGCGGTCTTTTTTTAATATTTAATTATTTATTTATTTGAAAGGCAGATTTACACAGAGAGGCAGAGAGAGAGATTGAGAAAGAGAGAGAGAGAGAGAGAGACTGGTTCACCCCCAGATGGCCACAATAGCTGGAGCTGTGCCATTCCGAAACCAGGAGCCAGGAGCTTCTTCCGGGTCTCCCACGCAGGTGCAGGAGCCCAAGGACTTGGGCCACCTTCTACTGCTTTCCCAGGCCATAGCAGAGAGCTGGATTGGAAGTGGAGCAGCTGGGACTCGAACTAGGCACTGCAGACTGCAGCTTTACACACTACACCACAGCGCTGGCCCCTGGGCAGTCCTTTGATCAGTACCTCTCTTCCTTTCTGGACCAGAAGCTCTGAGTGTGCAAGGCCTAGATCTGTTGTGGAGACTGCTGTGAACCCTCAGCCGTGTCTGGAAGGGAGATGCTCCACGTATAGCTGGTGAATGATGAAATCACTGGACAGGACTGGGGTCAGGCTTGCATCTTCCAGAGCAATGACCCCGGTCCCACAGCCATGAAGACACAGTCAGACAACCAAGGGAGCCTTGCCAGCGCCGGGTCCTGGAGACAATGGTAAAGAACTATTAGTTGGATTCAGACATCCTGGGGATTTCTTTTCTTTTCCTAAAAAAAGATTAATTTATTATTGATTTATTTGAGAGAGAGAGAGAGAGAGAGAGACAGACAGACAGACAGCAATCACCCAACAGCTGGTTCACTCCTCAAATGGCTGTAACAGTTAGAGCTAGGCCAAGTTGCAGCCAGGAGACAGGAATTATATCCAGGTCTCCTATGTGGATGCCAGGGGCCCAGGTACCTGGTCTGTCTTCTGCTGCCTTCCCAGGTGCATTAGCAGGGAGCAGGATCGGAAGCAGAGCAGCCAGGACTTGAACTCACACTCAGACATGGGCTGTTGGTGTCAGAAGTGGTGGCTTCATCCACTCTGCCCCAATGCCAGCCCCATCCTGGGGATTTCAACCAAAGTGCTGGTTTTGCTGCAACTTGTTACACAGGACCTCGGAAGACACCTCTGCAGATTTCTGTCTGAAGGAGAGAAGTTGGGATTCAGGACCTTGGAAGTCTCCCAGAGTCCTGTGCATCTCATTGGGTAGGGAGGAGAGAATTCACTGGGCACGCGCTCCACGCCCAGGGCTTTGCCTGCACCCTCTCAAGAATGCTCAGGAGAGCTCTTCCGTGTTCTGAGCTGGCCAGCCACCAGGAATGAACCAGACGCCACATTTCTCTCTGAGTGTCTCGGGGCAACAGACTTAGCTTTTCTAGGCCTTGCTTGCTCATTTGTGAAAGGGGCTTCCAAGGCATTATTTATCTCCCAAAGGAATTGGAAGAGTCAGATGAAATGATGCACTTTATTCGTGTATGGTTCCTCTGTGGGCTTCGTAGAGGTCAGTAATGCCGTCTCGTCGTACCGGGATGCACCCAGCAGAAATTCAAAGCCATTTCCAGAGTTCTGGGCCTGTAGAGGGGTGCAAGCTCTCCTTCTGTAATTAGGTGCTACTATTGCCTGAATATAATATGTTTAAGTCACCTCACTGTGTACAGCGTGAGTAAATCTGTTTCCAACGGACTTGAGACAGCTGTTGCCATGGAATAAATGCCACATGGGATCCATGGAAGGCAAGTGAAAAAATAAATACAAGGAAGATAAAGCAGAGCGAGAGCCAGCTGCCTGCAGCAGGTTGCGTGCCCCGCACCGCTCGTTAAGAAGAGCGCTCTGCTACCGTCAGGGAGGGAGTTGTTAAAGGGCCAGGAGAACCAGACTGAAGTCCAACTGAGAAGGGAATCATTTCTTCAGTTCTCCATTGGTCTCATTTAATGCTATGCCAACCACTCCATGCACATCCCTGAGTATGGGAAATACTGCAAATACTGCACCAGGTTTTTTTTTTTTTTTTTTTTTTTTTTTTTTTTTTTTTTTTGTTTCCAGTGGCTTCTCAGACGGAAGACTAGTTCCCTGGGTTATAAGGGTGCATGCAGCCAGTCCCCCTGGCTTCCTTCCTACTCCCCTTGCCTTTGCATCCAAGCTTCCTTGATCTGGTACATTGTTGTGGCAACTCCTTTTATCTGCTGCATCATAGAGGAATATTTTAAAAAATCCCATAGTTTTCTTTTCATCCCTTCCTCATTTTTACCGCTTAATTTGCAGAGTTCCTGTGAGCTGCCTATTGATAATTGATAGATGGTTCCTTCCTTTCCAATTTCCTCTATTAATTATCCCAGGAAGTTGATTTGGGCTTTGCATGTAACCCAATAGGTTGGAGAGCGCCCGGCCCGCCTGTGGGCCTGTGTGAATTAATACTGTCCAGCGGGCCCTGCCACCAGCAAGCTCTCCGGATGCGTGGTGGCAGGCCCCTCTTCATGGAAACGACCTGTGGAGGAGGCAGGGGGCCTCCCCTTGCTTTAGTGGCTGCGAGTGGCCATCTGTGGGAGACCGCTGATGCTGTCCTGGTCTTCCCTGCCCCGCCCCACACCCCCCCTCCCCCTCGTTCCGACAAGTGGGCTGCTTAGCTAAAGACATCTGGTTTACGTTTCTCAGCCTTGTCCAGTACCTTGGGCTTTCAGTTTGCTTTCCCTCTTTGCTACTGTTTACTTCTCTTTGACTTTTGCTCTTTTGAGTCTATGTAAGAAAGAAATATTAACTATGGAGATATGTCTCCAGGTAGGATTTTGACTGGGGGCTGGAATAGAACCAGAAGTGCAGATTTCTTTTTGTCTGTCCAGCACTTGAAATGGGCCACTGAAGACAATCTGGAGATCACACTGACTTCCTGAAGTTTTAGCTTGAGTTGAGAAATGGAGAAAGAGAGCAAGGTGGCGTCCACGTTCCTCCAGGGATCAAGTGAAGTGGCCGAGAAGGGGCTACTTTGCATGGCACCCACTCTGCTGCTGACCACGAAGACAATGATGGTCTTTGACAAGCCACAGGTGCACATGACCTTCAGGGCCCCCTTGCACCATGCAGACTCGGACCCAAGGGGCGAGATTCTTCTTCTTTGGTCAGACGACGATCAGATTTCTACTTCAGGTTGTTTCCTCTGTGACGACATGATCATACTCCCCAGCTCCAAACAGTCTTTCTCTAGCTTGAAAGAAAGGACATTTCTGTCCTTTTTGCTCATGGATTCTGTAGACTTAGTAAGGGCTGCTGAATCTGCTGAAGTCAAAATTAGTGCCTTTTCACCTGTTTGGCAAGCAAGGACCATAAGACTAGGACAGGGATCCTATCTGCAATTAACCCCTGCTCAGCCCCCAGCGCCCAGCACGGTCCCTGGCTCATCAAGAGAGGAACCAAGGAAGGAATGACTGACTGACTGACTGAATGGTTTCATCCATGTCAAAGGGAACGCAGCCTCTGTAGACGTATCAGTGCAATGCTCTCCAAGGAGGGCTATAAGAGGGGACGCTCACTGGAATGTAGAAATTCAGGGCTCCAGCTAGATGGGGAGAGTGCTGAATGAGCAGAGGCCTGAGGGTGAGCTGTGTGGGTCAGCCTCCACAGGGACAGGTGTGGGGAGGCAGGCGGAACAGAATGTGCTGGGGATAGAGAGCATGAGACACACAGGGCTCCGGCGCGGGCGCGGCTTCCTCACCCTTGCCTGTTCTGTATCCCCAGAGTCCACAGCAGTGACTGAGACAGAGTAGACATGCAGGAGGCGTGGGTAAGGTGAGTCTGTTGGGGGAATGAGGGGATGGAGCTTCAGCTGTGGTGGAGACGTGGAGTCGAATCCGGCTTCAATGCACTGGATGCTCAGGTGAGCTTGGCGGGAGAGGGGGAGGGGGAGGGGGAGGGGAGGCTTAGATCTGAGGTCTGGAATCGGTAGAGGAGAGTAAAGATGGGTTGGTTGGGTGAGCGTGTATGGGCAGGCTCTGGCTTTTTTCTTTCCTGCTCCAGAGAGACTGTGATAATGATCCCAAAGAATCCCAGTCCCAGCTCCTGGGACCTTTCAGTGCAACCCGAGAAGCCTGTGGCCTCCCCAGGCCTTTTCCATCAGGGAAGTAGGTTCTGGGTCATTTGGACTCCAGAGCTTATCTCAGACTTTCCCTCACTGGAACCCCTCCACCCAAATCCAGTTGTTGGAGGCAAAGGGGCCAATCAGTATCTACCCCCTTCTGTGTGCCAGTGATTAAGGACAATGATTTTGTTGACTCTGCTCAGTGCTTATGAGAATGGGAATATGGAGGAGGAGGGACAGGGGACATTTTTTCTTCTACTGGAGTCCCTGAATATATCTGATTTTCTCAGTGAGTTGCATGCAACCGACTGCATCACAATGCTTTGCATCCATTATCTGACACGTTTATCACCTCTATGCAAGGCAAGTGCTATGAGTGTCAACCCCTCCCTGCTCTAAAAGCTGGGATGTGCGTCCGTGTGCCTTCCTCTAATACTTGTCTTGCCCTCTGTGAATCAACCCTACAAGCACCCACCATGCTCCGGAGACCTTAAACTGGTGAGGACAGAAGAGGACTTCAGTCGTCCCTGGTCTCTCCTCAGTGTCAGCCTGCCCCTCCTGGGGGAGCTTTGTCTTAAGTCAGTTCCCTAGAAGGAGGGCTTGCCATGGGGACTCTCGGGCAAGGCAGGTACAAAGGGAGTGTTCTCCCAGGAAAGGGGCAGAAGGAGTGTAACAGAGGAGAGAGGGAACGTGTGGTTTCCAGAGAAGTCCAGCTATGTATGTCCTCAGCCAGCAGGAGTCTTGGCATGAGAATTGCCCCATAAGAGCTGTTAGACCCAAAGGGAAGGCAACTGGACTGTCAGACTCTCATCAGTCATGGCCATAGGCCCATGTAGGGTCAGTGTGGGAGGGGACAGCTTTGGTCAGCCCAGAGCCATGCCCAGGAAAAGTGTGCAGGGAATCAAGCCAGGGGAAGTGGGCGGGGCCCTGACAGTATCTGCCAGACACTTGGACACAGAGCCAGACACAGAGACAACAGTTACCATCTCCACAAACAGACCTGGCCTCGCTCACAGCAGTGATTCAAGCAAGTCTCTTAGCCTCATGGAGACTTGATTCCCTCTTCTGGAAAGTGGGAACAATGTGTGTTTTTAATCTCTAAGAATTGTTGTAACGATTCAACAAGACAATGCAAGCCACAGGGTTTAGCATGATGCTTGTTCCCCGGGTGAATCCGTGGCTAGCCCAGCTGTCTCCAAGTTGGAAAGTTTTCTGTCCAGCTGGGGCTCTGATCTTTCGGTGAAGGATTGCTTATGCTTCTGAAACCCAAAGGGACACATCAGTGCAGCATTACATTAGAGACAGGCTGTATGGGTGTGTGTGCGCGCGAACGCGTGCGTGTGCACACGCATGCGCATGTGTGTGGTGTGCCTGTTTTTGAAAGCTAAAAAGGAGCCTGGTTATGAATCTGATTGGCATGTGGCAAGTTGTGACTCGTGCTTGGGGTCCAAAGTCTCCCGGGAACTGCTTGGACAGGAAGAAGCTGTTCAAACAGCCTTCCTTCCCCTTCTTCGCCAGGGAAGTACGTTAACAGTCAACACCTCATTTTCCCTGTGAACACCAGGCAAAGACACAGCCGTAAATTGCCTGCAAATTGTTCTGCTGCCAGCTGCCAGAGAGAACTTTTGGGTTAAGCGTCCCTCCCTAAATTCTTAGCAGATGTTTAAAGGGCAATGTGAAGATCATTACTATTCAAGTAAATAAAGACCCAGGCTGGAAGGTTCTGGGCCATCTCATCTTTATTGGTTGTTCTTCCAAATGGAGACTCTGCTTCCTTCTCTTCAAACTGATGCAGGATCTGAAAATCGGGCAAACCCCACGTTTCCAAGGTAACCTTGAGGAGGAGCTTGGCTAAGGCTGCTGTATGGGTTAGCATCATGGGTCCCTGTTTCTCCAGAGAGTTTTTTTTTTTTTTTCTTTTTTGGATGGCAGAGACAAGGCAGCTCCTCTGGCTTGTGCTCCCTGTGCCCCAGCAAGGCGTGGTGGGCTTCTCCCACCAGGAGAAGCCAACAGATTACCTTACTGCCGCCCCAGAAAGGATGATCTCAGGCTTAAAATGAGTTTTCCATGCTGCTTTCTCTTGCATCCTTTGCGATTGTAAGAAAAAAGAAAAAGCGAGGCTGGCGCTGTGGCTCACTTGGTTAATCCTCCGCCTGCGGCACCGGCATCCCATATGGGCGTCAGTTCTAGTCCCGGCTGCTCCTCTTCCACTCCAGCTCTCTGCTGTGGCCCCGGGAAGTCAGTGGAGAATGGCCCAAGTCCTTGGGCCCTGCACCCACATGGGAGACCAGGAGGAAGCACCTGGCTCCTGGCTTCAGACCGGCGCAGCGTGCTGGCCATAGCGGCCATTTAGGGGGTGAACCAACGGAAGGAAGACCTTTCTCTCTGTCTCTCTCTCTCACTGTCTAACTTTATCTGTCAAATAAATAAAAAAAGAAAAAGAAAAGGAAAAGAAAGCAGAGACCTTTAAAGTGAAATAGAAATTGTCATTTATCACCCTGAGAGGCAGTCTGAGGGCAGAAGGCAGAGCAGTGATGTGTGTGGATGGGGAAGGAGAGGAATGAGCTATCAGCGACAGGAAGAAACTTTTTGGGAGTGTTGGAAGTGTCCACTATTTGGATGTTGATTGTTTCACAAGTACACACACGCATGTGTGTGTGTGTGTGTTTGTGTGAAAACTCATTAAACTGTACTCTTTAAATCTATGTAATTGATCAACTGTCAGTTACACCTTAGAAAAGCAGATTGCTTCACTTGTTTTAAAATTACACACACACACACACACACACACACGTACACATTTAAAAACTGATGATTAGTATGTTCCCGACTTGAAATGTAGGAATACGTGCCGGCGCTGTGGCTCAATAGGCTAATCCTCCACCTTGCGGCGCCGGCACACCGGGTTCTAGTCCCGGTCGGGGCGCCGGATTCTGTCCTGGTTGCCCCTCTTCCAGGCCAGCTCTCTGCTATGGCCAGGGAGTGCAGTGGAGGATGGCCCAGGTGCTTGGGCCCTGCACCCCATGGGAGACCAGGAAAAGCACCTGGATCCTGGCTCCTGCCATCGGATCAGCGCGGTGCGCCGGCTGCAGCGGCGGCCATTGAAGGGTGAACCAACGGCAAAAGGAAGACCTTTCTCTCTGTCTCTCTCTCACTGTCCACTCTGCCTGTCAAAAAAAAAAAAAAAAAAAAAAAAAAAAGAAATGTAGGAATACGTGAAAGGTTTTCAGCCAAGAAGTAGAGAGACCTGAGACTACAGTTAACTCCATGGCCAGATGGCCAGGGCTCACTCTCTCTCTCTCTCTCTCTCTCTCTCTCTTAAATAAAGATTTAATTTATTTATTTGAAAGGCAGAGTTACACAGAGAGATAAGGAGAGACAGAAAGAGAGACATCTTCCATACACTGGTCCACTCCCCAGATGGCCTCAATGGCTGGGGCTGGGTCAGGACAACACTGGGAGTCAGGAGCTTCCTCTAGGTCTCCCATGTGGGTGCAGGGGCCCAAGTACTTGGACCATTTTCTACTGCCTTCCCAGCAGGGAGCTGGATCAGAAGTGGAGCAGCTGGGATTCGGAGAGCCCATGTAGGGAGTCAGCGTCGTAGCCCTGCAGCTCCACCTGTTCTGCACCCTAAGGCCAGGGCTCCTGTGTGTCCCTGCAGCCCTCGATGCTGGGAGTATGGACAAAACCCTGGGGAGACGCTCTCCAGGCCTTATCAGAGACTTGGAGAGTGTTATCCTACAGGTCCAGGAAAGACTGCCAAGACATTCCAACGGCCCAGTCCCAAAAGCATAATAACTATTTGTTGAACTGAATAGAACATTAAAATCTTATTTCTTGTCCTTGCCTGAACTACTGATTTTCCAATTCAGCTTAAAGTTGAAGGGCAACATACGAATGTTCCCCCAGACCCTCTCAGCTCTCACTAGGTAGCTGGACAGAGGAACTGGAGTAGGCATTTAGTGTCTCAATGAACATAAATCCTGGGCCGAATCCAAAGAAAGCAGGAACCTCCTGACTTCTGGCTTCCCCCTGCTATCAGTGGCGTCACCATTCCCACACCCCCATGTTCCTCTTTCTAACCTACCTGTACAGCAATGAGGGATAATCATCTTGCCCTTATCCGTTCATCCACTTAGTGAACCAAGTGCTCTTTACTAGGTACCTAGCACGGTGCACATAAAGTGGTAGGGAACTGGGAGATCCAAATGGACAACAGCTCACACCCACATGGAGCTTGTGTTCTAGAGGAATCGGTCAAGGAATCCAGTACAGCCATCCCTCAGTGTCTGTGGGGGACAGACTGATTGTCTACAGGATTTACTTTGGATAACAGCAAAATTCACAAATGCTCAAGCCCCTTACACAAAATGACCTAGTATTTGCATGGAGCTTATGCAATCCTCCTGCACTGTTTAAATCATCCCCAGATTCTTTGTCATATGTAACGCAGTGTAAATGTTATGTAAATCATTTTAGACTGCATTGCTTAGGGTTGAGGGAGTATGTTTGTATAGGTCCAATGGGACATACTTGTTTCCCCTAAGTATTTTCAGTCTATAGTTTGATGAATCCATGGGTGCAGACCCCATGCACCTAGAAAGCCAACCAGAACCAGAACCTAAAGGCAAATCTACAACTAGGGTGTGTTACAAAGCAGAAACAAAAGAGAATGGCAGTCACACAGCTATGTGCTAATTGTCAACCCAGGGAAGAAAGAAGCGGGAAGTGAAGAAATAGGTAAGAGGAAGAGCCAGCCAGGTAAAGAGGGTTGGGAGGGGTATTTCAGGCTGGAGGAGGAATGTGTGCAAAGGCCCTGGGGTAGTGGTAGGGAAGCATGGACTGAGAAACCACTGGGGGCCTCTGTGGTTGGAAGGCAGACAGCAGAGAGGAGATGAGCCAGGGACACACACCACTTATCTTAGGCAGGGAAAGACCAACCAGCAGCACTGGCAATTTCCCCAGAAGACCACAAAAATTAAAAAAGAAAAAAACAAGCAAAACCAAACGGAGGGTGCATTTCTCAGGTAAATGTTACCAGGCCTACTGCAATGAAGGGAAAGACAACTTCGACAGTAGAGGGGTTTCAGGGGAGACTGTTTACCATTTTAAGGCCTGGGCCGATGCATCTAGCGCTGGCTTTCTCAGGTGGAGAGCCGGTTGAGACCAGGTAGTTTCCACTGCAGACACAGTGAAGAGAGCCGGCAAGGACGTCTTGTCATTCATCGTGTCACATAAGCTCTTTCTGTTTGTCCAGAGCCTTCTCTTGAAGGAGCCGGTCTTTCTCAGAAAGCGCGTGGATCGGTTGTCTTTTCCAACTCTCGGTACTGTTTGAAAATGGCCTGGCAAGTCAGCCCGGGCCTCGCGTTGTTGAACCCAGGGGCGGGAAATTGCCTTGCCTTCACTGCCGAGGTTAGCCGTTATCTGAAATGCGACAGGAAAGCCGTGAATGGGTTCTACGTTCCCACTGACTGCAGACCTTGCTGTGGGGTGGTGACAGGAGCACAGCGTGGGCTGCCCTGGCTGCGTCACTCTGTGTTCTCATCTGCCCACTGAGAACGCACGAAAAGATGACCCCGTAGTTCTCGTCCACTTAGAAGTGTTCCTCTTCTCGTGTTCCTCTGGGTTAGGAGTGACTGTGGGGAGACATTCTGGGGCAAAACAGACCTGCAGTCCTTGCTACGTCCTGACACCGGTTACCCTTGACCCTCAACTTGTCCTCTAGCTTCTGAAGTTTCCTCATCTCTACAGCAAGGATAGCAGTGGCATTGACTTGGTCAGGGTTAAGCTCTGCATGTTAAATCTTTGAATAACCCCGCCCCTCCTTGGTATCTGCAGGAAATTGGTTCCAGGACCAAGCCCCTTACATAAAAATGGTGTGTTATGTGCATGGAACTCACACATGTTGTACACTTTAAATCATACCTAGATTAATTATAACACCTAATACAATGTAAATGCTATGTAGACAGTTGCTGGACTGTATTGTTTCGGGGAAAATGACGAGAAAGCAAGTCTGCTCAGGTTCAGTACAGAGGCGACTATTTTTTCTGAATATTTTCCATCTGCAGTTGGCTGACTGTATGCGTGCAGACGGAACCCACGGATACTGAGGGCTCACTATACGTTAGCATGGTCGAGGCCAGGGAGAGGAGGAGTAGGCAGGCCCTGAGGCTGCAGAGAAGAAAGAGATGACACGGGGCCTTCTGTGCTCTGGTCACGTCTCACACATGCTCCTTGACTTACCGTGGGGTTGCAGCCTGCTAAACCTATTGTACCTGGAAGACATCGTCAAGGTGAGAATGCATTTAACCCACCTAATTTAAGCCATCACAGCTTAGCCTGGCCTACCTTAGATGTCCTCTCCCCCTCTCCCTCTCCCTCTCCCTCTCCCTCTCCCTCTCCTTCTCCCTTCCGTTTCCGCTTCCGCATTCGCATTCGCATTCCTATTCCGATTCCTCTCCCTCTCCCTATCCCCATCCCATGCTCCTGCCCATGCCCATGCCCATGCCCATGCACATGCAATTGCAATTGCACTTTCGTTCTGGCGCTGCCATTGCTGCGGTTGGGGTCAGGATCCGGGTGTTCCAACGCTCAGGCTCATGCTCA